CTACTTGAATATGAGTATCCATTAAAAATAATGTTTAAACAAAATAAAAAATAAAAATATATAGTGTATAAAATTCTTTATTAGTGTGTGTGTATAAGTATATAAAATTCCTTATTAGTGTGTGTGTATATATATATATATATATATATATATATATATATATATATATATATATATATATATATATATGAGTTGGTAAAAAAATTTAAACAAATTTTTAAAAAATTAATAAAATGCTTCATGTTTTGGAAATATCTTTAAATACCTTTGTCAACATTTTTTTATCCCGCCCATTAAAAAAGCAAAAAAAAAAACCTCTTTCAATGAACTTTAGACTATATCTGCAGAAAGAAGAAAAACATGCTTAGTTTTCAAAGAGGAGAAACACTCAGAAATCAATGAGTTATACTGAACAAATCTTTCTGGATATAAGTATGAGTAAATGTATTTCATTAAATTCCTGGGAAAGAACTGGGAATATTCTTTGCTTTTTTTCTTTTTTTTTTTGGTATATAATTGTGCGAGAGAAGACTCATTAACATCATACAGTTACTTAAATCTCTTTGTATTGTTGCTGTTCTTAACACATTTCAGCCAATCCATTCTCTAACCCTCATAAAGCGTAATCCATGAGTGTCAAAAAATAAAAGAGGGAAATAACTTTGCACAAGAAAATTTACAGGTGACATAATTGTTCTTTAACTGGATGAGTTTATTTTTTTACTGTTAGGTAATTCCTTATTATGCTGGAGGGTGGGGTTACTTTCCAACCTCAACATTGGTAAGTGAAGCAAAATTTGGTGTGGCAGGTTGGAGAAAGCTACATAGTAGCCTCTCGGAGATAAAGAGCAAATAATTGATAGAGTGTGTCAGTAGAGAGAGTGTGGAAGATGAACGAGGAAGTGTATAACAACCACTTAACAAACTGAATGAGTTGAGCTTGCAGGGATTCAACATTATGTAGTTAGCAAAATTGAAGCTAATTTTCTTTTCAACCCCCACCCCCCCAACTTGGCCTAATATGGAATCGGCTGATCACTTTCTGTTCCCAACACTGAAAATTAAGATTGTCTAGTCAGTATATTAAAAGAACAATTTCTGTCACTTGTGGTTTTTCTTGAGTAACGTTTCTCCCCCCCTCCCTCACAGATTACAGCTGGTTAGAGCTAATGATTGAACTGGGTTTTTGTTTTAGGGCACATAAACCTTGTAGGTCATTTTATGCCAAATAAGGTGTTTTGTGGAATAGTCATTGAAGAAACAATTTTAGTAGAATTGTGACATTTGGAAGTATAGTATAGTTTGGGAGAACTTTTCCTTTTCAGGCATTTTGGGGTTATGTAATTGCATTTTGGGCTGTCTTCTTGTTATACTGGAACACACCTATTCTATAGTTAATAAACTCTCCCATCTATAATAAGTAGGAGTAGTAAGAGTAACAAGTCGGTCGGTGAGTCAGTCGATGTTGGACAACAGTTAGTTGAATACTAAAGTATCAGCGACCACAACTAGATTACTCTGCGTTATACCTATTATATCGAGTTCCTAACGTTTTGTACGTCGAACCTATTTTAGGACTGACTTAGTACAAATACAAGCCTCCACTGTGAAATCACTCCACAACACTTTCATAAGAGTTTAAAGTCATTTATTTGTTTTAGGTAGCCTATTATTTGAGAAGAAGGTACATTTTTGAAAAGCACAGTAAGGTTTTTTACATCATTGTATTTGTTGCGAGTTTTTTTTTCAGTCTATTAGGATGTGCTTAACAGTGAGTAATTGATCACAGGAGATGTACCGAGGTGCAGTTTCTGCTTTGAGTTAGTCTGTGTATGCCCAATTTGGACAGGTGAGAGGTAAGGAATGGATTGGTTGAAATGTTTTAAGAAAAGCAAATGGTAATCCTTCAGTTAAGCAACATAAAATAAGCTGCTATTCTCATAATTGTGTAAAATCAGTAAGACCAAGGTATATACATTTATTACAATTAAACATTATTACAATGGATAATGGTGGACTCCTATGCAGCAAATAAATTCTGAAAACATGCAACTGTTCTTGTACCACTGACACCACACAAATTTGTGAAGGTCTGGCATGAACAATGGCTCAAATGTTCCAAACTGCCGACACATTTTACACTTGACACACCCTGTTGCAACTCCAGCAATGGACATAACAGATCAGTTGCTTTAGTGGTAAGCTGCTGTTAGCATAGAATAGATCATCTTTGACACTTCGACAATGTGTTCATGACTTGCAATACTAGTGATAACCATCTGTTGCATCTCGACAAACAGTTGGTTGCACAGTTATAGGCTCTCTAAGACAATTGTCAAGCTCCAATAAAAACTAGTCCTCTTGAAACACATTTTTTTAGATTGACAGTTGACTGTGGGGCACTAGTCTATGGCTGAAATTTTTTTTATCTTTAATTGGCATTACAGGGTGTAGAGGAATTAGGAAGAAAGACATTAATAATGAGGGGGAAAAGTAAAGAGTAATCAGGAGGACAGTAGATAGTGATTGACATTGTAAGTTTGCAGATTAAAGTTGGCTGGAAAGCATGAAGCCAGAAGGGAGTTCCACAAGTGAGAAGTGTGAGAAAAGAAACTGTTAACATAGAATTTACGGCTACATCTAGCTAGTTCAATTGTCAATTGATGAGATCCCAATGCCAGTCTAGTACTGCGTTTAAATTCATGAAGTCTAGACACAATAGCAAAGAGCTTATCTGAACAATTACCATGAAAAGGCACAGAGAGGCAACCTTATGGTGGTAAGAAAGTGACTGAAGTCAAGTTGCCAGATCAGGACCAATAATATTGCTGATTCTTCTTTGGATTTTATCAAGGAGATCTAAGTAAAAATGAAACCTTTTAATTTACACTGTTTAAGTGAAGGCTTACCTGGCAAATATATAAAGAGATTTGAGCATCAGCATGCTGTCAGATTGGCATATTTCCTCTCATTTCTAGGATTTTTTTTTGCCATGTTTGTTTTGTGAATTCCAAGAAAACTCAAGATTTTATGGAGACAAAGGATATTTTCAAATATGAAACAAGGTAAAAAAACAAAATGTTAGTCAATCACTGATAAAAATAAGTAATTTGGTTGTATAGAATGAAAAAAAAAAAAAATGGAGAAAAATTTTTAATCATCATATTTGCATTCAGAATACTTGGTAAAATATTCCCTTTTGGAAAAAAATTGGAAATGAAAATTTAAAAAAAAAATAATATAATTGAAAAATTACATATAATATCTATGACAAAAACTAAAATAATTTTGTGCTTCATTCTTTAGTTCCACCAGTTCAGACATTTACTGCTAGGACAGGCTAGGCCACTTCCATGGAACTGAATCACCTTCATTTCCTTCATGTTCCAAATGTAAGTAAGAAATTTAATTCAGACAACTACACAAAATTGCTTCTCTGAACATGTCAAGTTAAGTGAAGGGGGTAACTATTTTCTATCCTCCCTATCCTTATAATCTTCACTTTCTACCACCTCCTCTTTTATTCATCATAATCATCATAATCATTCTAGCAGTAATTTTCTACCTTAAGTGGCTCTCCAACCTAGAATTGAGTGAACTTTAGTATAAAAATAACTAAGCAAATTCAGACAATATATTAAAGTTAATTTTACATTTTCTTGTATATTTGTTAAACTTCAATTTAGCATGACAAACTTTTTTTTTCTTTTACAATGACATTTATTAATCATTATAATGGGATCATACTGTATTTGCTGTGTGTGTGTGTGTGCACGCATGTGTTTCATTGAATAATATAGACATATTGTGGAAGTGAAATTCATCAAGGAAGGTGCCATAGTTTTGTTAACCCAAGTACTTTTGATCTTTTCCAAGATCATCATCAGGGATAAATTACAAAGACACACTTATTGTAACTTTGATAAAAATCAATGTGTATATTGTTTGACAAGGATGATGTATTGTATATATGCGTGTATGCATGCATATAAAGTTCTGTAGACTCTTCAGGAGAGAATAGGGCCACAGGCTTACCATGTTAGGTACTGCTGCTGTGGCTTTATAGGGTAGAACTGCTAACCCCATGACCATCTTGTTCTGAATTCAGAATTGTCTTTCTCCTAGAATGGTACCCAACCAAGGCTAAAGAACCCAGTCTTCTCTGCTACTAACTTCCTAGCTGGTGAGAAGGTGAAAAAATGGTTATTTCCCATGGTATTTGTATGAAAGTGAGCACAACAGTCTCAATTGGAACTTGACTTTGGAATGCCAATCCCACTATACAACACACATTCCAAGTTTATGCAAATACTGAATAAATGTTAGCAATGAACAAAAGATTAATACTACCAGTGTGAAAAATCCTGTTTGAAATCAATGTCAGGCTAGGTATTTATTTTTATGTTAATTATACAAATTTTACCCTTTTGTTTTTTTTTATATAAACCACTAAAGAGAAATTGATTAGTCATTAATTAAAATGCTTCCTGATGATGAAAAAAAAAAAAAATGTTGCCCTAATTCTAGAATGATTATGCTGCAGGGTGGTTTCCATGACATACAATGTCAAAAATCTAAAAGAAAACAATTTAATCAATTTAGAATATTATTAAAAAAATATTTAAAACAAAATATGATTTTTTTTTGTAATAAAAGTAGACATTTACTTGGTTAGCTATGTCCATCACAAGTTAATTTTCTTTTTGGAACTTGATTGAGTGATTTTTTATGGTTTATCAACGTATTCCAGGTTATTTAAAGCCAGAAAATATTTTAGATTGTAAGAATTTTTTTTTTTTTTTGAGATTATAATGTTTTAGTGATACAAATCTTACTAATTAATGCATAGCTGGGGGAGAGGTGGATTCATGCCTTTCCCACAGGTATTTACGTGTAAATGAATATAATAAACACAACAAGGATTGAAACTCAATTAACAATTCCAAGCCATTATCCATCATTACACCACCCACACATCCAAACTTACAGCACCCGTAGGCAGTCACCCACCCATCTAGGTACTGACCAGGCTTGATGTTGCTTAACTTCAGTGATCGTATGGGAACCGGTGTTTCAACATGATATGGCCATAAGCCTTTTGTATGGTACCAATCTCTTTTTCAGCCCTGCAAACAAGGCTATGATTAGAACATTGCCATCAAGTGATATTCATAAGGAATGTGTCTAGCAAAATATTCTATAATTGGTAACCATGATAATAGTAATAATAAGTATGTAACTGATGCTACTAGTAATAATAATAATGATTGATACTTATCAAGATAATTGTGACATCAATAGCAATAATGGTAAAGATCAAAGAATGAAAATATAGGTTTTTGGCACATCAATTTCTTTATGAGTTGTGTAGTGTCAAGGATTTTCCTTTTGTGAAAAATGTCACTACAAATAATAAAAATATCAAGTAAATGAAAGGAAGGAAAGTAATTTCTAAAAGCAATAATCAATTTTAGAAAAGAAAAAAAAAAGGTTTTTAGTTTATTTTGTTGATATGCTATTCACATAATTGTCAGAAATGTTCCTATTATGAAGATGACACGAACGATATTGATCTGAATAACATTCGGATATAAACAAAATAACATTTTCTAAGGCATTGATTAAAAATACCATATTTTTTTTCTGACAAACTTAGAAAAGTACACATTTTCATTATTGTTTACTCAATATGCTTTCAAAAAATTCATAACACGACAACATTAATTAAGGATGGTTAATCTCTTACGATAATTATGTAGTTTGCACCGCCTCTGCTCCACTCCACGCACACATTGTGGGGTTTGGGGTTAGGGATATAGACTTTAGACAAGGAAGCAATATAGAATAAGAACAAGATTTTCAATTGAAAATAGAAAAATTCAAATCATGAATTGTTAAAGAAGCTAGTTACTTGTTTTCTGCAAAGTAAACACAGTATAATCAGGGTTTGACTTACAAAAAATGAATAAGATTAAGAAAAAAAATTTATATCAAGTAAAGAATATCTTGCTTGCTTAATGGATTTCCAAAGATAAAATAACAACCCCCTCAAAAAACAAAACATTGTACAGGTATTTTTAGAGTGTGCATGTATACACATGTGTATATGTAAAATATGATATATAAATCTATATACCAGACTAATAGTGGGTAAATGAATGACAAAATGGAAAAAAAAAAGCTCCTGTTATGGATATGAAAACAAAAGGGATCTTTTACAAAACAATATCCTCAATGTATTAGTTGCTCATCATAATAGGTTTAGCTATAATTTAAAGGACAGTTTTAATTAGAGAGTAATTTATTAAGGTGAAAATGTATTAAAAGTGGACTAATTTCTGAATCTTCCCTTGAAAATTTACATCCTTAATCATGCAGCATATTGCCTTCCCTGAAATCACAATGACAACAACCCCCGTGACCCTGAGTGTTGTAAAGGCACCACATGTACATCAGCCATAGCAGCAGTGGTGTGTCTGACAGGACCCAACCCTCTTCAAGCTGGTTTGAATTCAATTTCCCTTCTCCTTGACTGGTTGCTAACCAAGGCTATAGGACCCAGTCTATTCTGTTATTTAACCCATAGCCAGGGGAGGGAAGAGATGGATTCATACATTTCCTAAGGGTATTTGCACATAAGTGAATGTAACAAACTTGACTGGAATTTGAACCTGGCTCTCCAATTTGTCATTCCAAGCTGCTATCTATTACACCACCCATGCATCCACCTTATTACAGCATAGGGTATTTCAAAACAATAAAATAAAAATAAAATGTGGTAGAAAAGAATGCAGTCAACTTGGTTACGGACTGAGATATAGCAGATGATAAAAATTAGAAATTATTAAATTTAAAGCTAAGTGTTGTTGGCTAGCACATGTAACTAGAAAGGAAAATATAATAAAGATATTGACTTTCTGCATTAGCAAAAAGGTCAGGAAGGAAACATCCATCAATACTAGAAAGAGCTATAACATCTAATGGCCTTGAGAAGACTTCTTCTTCTATGTGCTGTGTCCCTTCAGGTCACTGGCAATCATGACTGGCCATAATTTCAAGCTCTTTGTAGCTCTTAATAACTTTTGTCTTTTTGTCATCTCTTCCAAACCTTGCCCCACCATCCATTCACTCAAACTCACCAGGTAGGTTGTACATTGCTTTCCTATGTCTGTCTTACTGTCAATCTGTCCTGTGAGTATCAAATTTTACAAGCCCTCTTTCTTGCGCTAGAAATTTCAACTGTCTCTTCATGATGTTAAGCATATATGTGTCCTTTTTGTTTTCATTATCACTAGAACTTCATCATTGCTCACATGTTCAGTCCATGGTATTCTCAGCATCTTTCTGTAGAACTATATTTCAGTTGCTTCAAGACTCTTCTTCCTCTGTGAGGAGATTGTCCAGCATTTACTGTCATATATTGGCACCTTGACATTGTGTAATGGTTAGCAAGCTTGTCTCACTAGAACAATTATGACTGAGTAGTGAGTTTGATCCTCACTGGCAGCTCCATACTTTTAGCCTTGTGCCATATATAAGCTATGCTTTGAAAATCATTAAGGTACTTTGATGTGGAGTTATGGTTATAGAACTTGTCTTGTTCGATGAAGTACAACTAAATAGTGAGTTTTATCTTCACTGGGTGCCCCATACTTTTGACCTTGTGCCACATATAAGTTACACTTAGAAAATCACCATGTAGAGGACTGATATTATGTCATGTTTTGTTTAACGATCAAATGTTTTTATTGAACACGATGTTGAAAATCTCCCCTGGTTGCCTGCTGATGAGGCCAGGGTATTGCACATGCTTTCACATGTTGTATATAGAAAATTAACAGTTCAGTAATCTTTTTCTTGAAAACTGTTTTAAGAGAAAGATTTTTTTAAAATTTCAACTGACAGTAACATTAACTGTTCGGTCAACGAATGTTGAGTGTTTCTTGTATAGAAACAGTTGCATTACCATTATTAGTCTGAAGTCTTTTCAAGAAATACCTAACATAGGAGGTCCCCCACTCCACCAACCATTTTGTCATTCAGTTCTCGACATAAATGTATAGATAAATATACATATGCATTACAAATACACATCTTGTTCAAGAAGAGCAAAATAACTGTAAAATTATCACTAAATTGAAAAGAAATTTGTGATTGCCATAGAAGCTTTTTTCCCCAGCTCAATGGATTGGTGCAAACAAAACAGGAGAATAATTTTATTACCATTATTAACGTTTCCAAAATCTAATTTAACTGTATTGTTATTTTCCATTTCCTTTCTTTTTCTTTGTGGGTAGGAGGTGATGGGAGGTTTATTTTTTCAAGAAGTCCACTAATGTTTGAATTCTGGCACTATTAGCCACAATATAGCTTTGTGTCTCCCACAGCATGTTGACAATGACTTTGCTGTCATGGCAGTCAAGCTGAATATCTTCAGACAGTTGTGGATTAAATCGGAAGTAAGGCACTTTCAACATATTACACCAGGACCTTGCTTGCAGTACAGGTCGGTCATCTGTGTTGGTGACCTTAAAAAAAGAAAAAAAAAATGGTCAAATATTTGTTCCTTTATGGTTTGATTATCAGATGAAAGAAGATGCTCTGAAATGTTTAAATATAACAAAAATTATAATTCATGAAAAGAATAAACAAGATTTACAAATATTCATTTTAAATATTTTCAATAAAAATCATTTCTAAATATATATATATATATATATATATATATATAAAGAAATTTTGAAAAAACAAACAAAAATCCTTAAATGTAGTTAAAATGAAAGAAATGTCGACGTCTGACGTTTCGGTTTAATAAACCTTTTTCAAGACAATATTCATCAAAATACAATTCAGTTCAATATGACAAATACGATGGACATAAAAACACAAGTCTTATTCAGAACAGATAACTGAAAATTTTTAAAATGATCAGCCTTCCGTCTAACATGGTCACGCCGTCGTCACATGGGCTTACGCTTTCATAACGTATTCCTAAAAGTTTGTGATTATTTTGAAATGAAAAAGAAAATGAAAAGAATTCTATTAGGTTCTAAAATTCTTTGTGTATGCTTGTCGAGCATTAATCTCGCTAAAAAAAAGGGGAAATATTAAAGAAACCAGGTCTAGTATTCACCGTGCATGTGAGATGGATATTATACCTGCTTCATAAACCCTCCTGAGATTTTTATTATGAAAATATTTTAATACTTTCACGGAATCGAAATCAAAATTATGATCTGCTTTAGTTGTGTGTACAACTAAAAGCATTGTTAAAATTACCGAGACGAATATCGTTTATGTTCGAAAAACACGAGATTTTAAGGACCTACCTGTTTCACCCACATATTTTAGGTCACAATTTTTACATGATATTTGATAGATGCAAGCATCGGATGTAATATGTTGTCTGCTGGTGCTATTTAATAAACTACGGATAGTCCTAGTAGGTAATATAGTAGTTCTAATTTTTAATGCATTTAGATTATGAGAGATGCGTTCGGTCAAATGATTATTTGGTAAAAAGATGCGACCAAACGAAATATTATCAGAGGCAGCTGAAATTGTATCTTTCATTGATCTAGTTGTAGTGGCCTTTGAGGTGTCATTTTGCGCTGATGAGTGAATTTTCAACGCTTTATTTTTAGCTCTCTGTAATAATTGTCTCGGATTTGAAAAGATTTGAAAAAGGTATCCTCAATATATGTAAATTCATCATTTAAATATTTTGATGAACAGATGCGAAGAGCCCTCAAATAGAATCCAATAACAATACCCCTCTTAGTGTTAGTATCATGGTGAGAGTAAAAATGTAAATAGTCATTTTTACATGTAGGTTTATATACTTTGAATTCTAATTTATTTTTATTTTTAATGAGTAATATGTCTAAAAAAGGTAAGGAATTATTAGATTCAAGTTCATAGGTAAATTCTATAGTAGGTTCTATTCTATTTAATCTATCAGTAATCTCGTTTAAATCATGCTTATGTGGGTAGATAAATAAAATGTCATCGATGTATCGAAAGTAATGTGTATCAGGTGGAATGACATCTTTAAAAGGTCCAGATTCAAGAAATTCTAGAAATATGCATGCTAGGAATCCAGAGAGAGGACTCCCCATCGGTAAACCAAATTTTTTGTTTATAATAAATATTATTATATTGGAAGAAACAATGTGAAGTGCAAAGGATGCATAATTTGATGCATTTCGAGATAGAGATAGGTAGCTTAAAGTCAATTTTCTTAAGGTGGTTCTCTAATTGTTTAATGCATTTATCAACAGGTATATTAGTATATAAAGATTTGATGTCTAAGCTAGCTAGTAATTTGTTATCTATATCAATATTTCTCAACTTGTTTAAAAGAGAGCCTGAATTTTTTATATGTGCGTTATTTAATTGCCCAGAATTGAGTTAGAAATTTAGTTAAATACCTAGCGATATTATGAGGAGCTGAGCCTATATATATTTTAAGAATTTTAGAACCTAATAGAATTCTTTTCATTTTCTTTTCATTTCAAAATAATCACAAACTTTTAGGAATACGTTATGAAAGCGTCGCCCATGTGATTTACGCATGTGACCATGTTAGACGGAAGGCTGATCATTTTAAAAATTTTCAGTTATCTGTTCTGAATAAGACTTGTGTTTTTATGTCCATCGTATTTGTCATATTGAACTGAATTGTATTTTGATGAATATTGTCTTGAAAAAGGTTTATTAAACCGAAACGTCAGACGTCGACATTTCTTTCATTTTAACTACATTTAAGGATTTTTTTGTTTGTTTTTTCAAAATTTCTTCATTCTGTCGGATTTATATCCATTTACACTTGCTTATATATATATATATATATATATATATATATATATATATATATGTATATAATTATTTATTTAAAAATATGATTCCATCGCTACATAAGAGTTCTCATGTTTCAAAACAAGAGCCAAAAACTTCAATATAATTATTTGAATTAAATTGAATTAAAGTACCAAACTCTGTTCCATCTTCAAGCAAAATTTTTTTTTGAATAACTAATTCCTAAAATTTACGCGTTTTATAAGCATATTCATTATTAAAATTAAAATTACTATGGTAATGGCTAGAGCAATTATTTAAAGAATACACAAAACCCTTTCAGAAAAATATAAAAAATAAAATAAAAAAATAAATAAATCTCCATAGACACTTTAGTCTGGTTAAGTGTCTATGGAGATTTATTTATTTTATTTTTTTATTTTTTTCTGAAAGGGTTTTTCCATCTCTAATTCTGCTGATATATTTGTGACAATGATAGTCATTCACAGTTTTAATTTTCAATCTGATCTAATTTTCTCAAAGTCAAAAGGGTACAAACTGAATCATTTGAAATCTCAGTTTCATCTTGTTTTATGTCACAACCTTAAAATGACACTAAAGAAAATGAAAATTGTTTTATTAAAATGTCTTTATAAGGTCATGTATAAAATCTGATAAAAAAACAAGACGTATTCAGCATGATTGAATTCCTTTTGTATGTTGCTCTTGTTAGTAGCATGTTCTTCAAATACACAATCTGTTATCAAAAAGTAGAGCCCGTTTTCTTCACATAGGAATCATACATTAATCTCATTCTGGTAACAATAAAGAAATACAACAGAAGGAGAATGAAATTGGAATGGATATTGAAGGAAGGTTGATGTGTACAGCAGCTTAAATGTCAGAAACTACAAAAGACAATTAGTAACAAAAAAAAAAAAAATATAACGGAAAAAATCACTGGCTAAGTATTGGTTATAAATCTACATTGTACGTTGATTTTCTAGTGATTGTAGATTCATAGGTTTGGTTTGTATTATGGTATATTGATCTTTTCCAGATTATATAATGCTGAATTCTGTCATTTGAATAAACAATACATAGGGAGACGCACATCAATGTCTCCAAAAGTTAAAAAGTTAGGCATGGATTTGGTTTGCACAAGAGTCAAAAATAAGTTTGAAATCTAATTACCTGACTGAGAATGAGATTTCCAAGAGTTGACACTCCAGCTGCACACCTGGCAACATCCAGTAAACTGTCAGGACGGAAAACATCCACAGATTTGATGGGCACAGTGGGGGGTCGACCTGTACCCAATGACACAACAAGGCCAAGATGTTCAGAAGGCATGTTCTGAGGAAAATCAGAGAAAGATATTGCAATTAATACATGCATCTGCTTGTAGCATGAAAATACATCATTGTGAAGATTCAGTGTGACATCTTTTCAATGGAAATTGTGGTCATGATGTTTTGGGTATTATTTCTGATAATATATATACACACAAACTTTGTATTCAAACTGAAGTTGTAGCCAAGATGTTTTTGAAGTTATTTCTGATAATATACAATTCAGTTTGAATATGAAGACAACCTTCATATGCAAACTGAATTTGGGGTCACAGTGTTTTGAGGATTATTTCTGATAACATACATACGGACAGCCTTCAATATTTGGACTGAAGTTGTGGCCATAATTTGATATCATTTGTTTAATGGCATATCAACTCCTTATGTGTCATTTAATGCCAAAATTTAATTTTCTTGGGAGTTTTGAAGTAATAAAAATATGATGTTATTCTGCTTTCACAATTGAATACATGGTAGATGATATGCAGCTTTTTTGTGAATATACCTGTTTGTGTGGGACATGATTACTAGAGGTGTTGAAATGTGTATTTTATATTATAATTTTGTTGAAGTTATATTTGGAATACAGTTATATTTGGAATCTTCAACTATCTTTTTCTACTTCAATAAGTTTTGCTCCATTTTTTAGGCTTTTAACATTGGAAAATATTACTTTTTGTATCAGAAATTGTGAGAGTTTTGTGAGTGGAGCCTCCTTGTCTGATTCCAAGATTATGAATCTTGGAAATGATACTCTCTCCTCATCTAATCCTATTTCTTTGTGCAGTTGCTTGAAAGGTTTTTGGGAATTAGCCATGTAAGTATTATTTGGAGTTCATTGACTGGGCTCCACACCTGCCATAGAGCCCCACACAGCGACAGGCGAAATGGGAGACCCATTCGCCTTGCTCTATTAGGGCTACCCAGTCTGTATACTCATACTGAGGAAGGAAACAGTTTTTAAAATCCCCCAGCTTTGGTATCCAAGATAATTACTAACTCAAGGATATTAAGTTATCATCATTCTTTCTTTGGCATGATTGACCCTGCAGTTACCATCTTCTGATTTGGGAGAAACCAAATAAAGGACTGACATGATCTGCCAACGGATCAGATCAGGCCACTCTGACCACCCATCTAGTCCAACTAAGAGCCAAAGTGGTGTGTTGGGAATCAAAAGTATGTAAACCTGACTTCTGAAGCCCTCAACCACCAGGATCCCATCCACAGACATTATGAGTTACCACCCATGGCAAACAGATGGCTTCATTTGGAGGGGGTGTACCCTTCTGTAGAGGTGCAGTTAGTGTATTCTGAAACCCTGACCAGCAGGGTGCTTGTAGCCATAATGATGATTATTTTTATCAGTGGATTATTTCTGATGATGTACATACACACAACCTGGTAACATGCTGCTTAGCATAAAGACAAATTTTAAGGAGTTGGCAGAATTTACAACATAAAAGAGTCTATAAGTAAATATTGATTGGGTTTATATATGAGTTTGCCAGCATCCACCTAGGAGGTGGACCTCTTTTGGTGGTGGTAATGGGGTTTGACTCTGTGAATATGATAGGGGTATATATTTTGTATTCATTTAGTGCATCCAAAAAATGAGATTGTAAAAATAGGTACTGAATTTTAATCACATAATTTTAGAAACTAACAAATTTCTTAGCCATTGTTAATTATTATTGTATTATTATAAAAACTAAAACAAAAATTACAAACAGAAAAGGAAAATTGTAAAAAGAAAAAAATACTGCCTTCTAGCCTTTTTTAGAACAATTTTTCAAGTAATTAATGGAAAAAAATTAATTCTTATTATTCAAATTATTTTAAAAATTATCATGATTTCCTTTTTAAGTATTTTTCACCTTAATGACTTCAATCTTAAGAGATTTCAATTGTTAAATCCTTGAAGTTCTGACCAAATTGTTGAAAAAATCTGAATATATGATGTTAGTGCAATTAAATTTATATATCTCAAAGTTGATTTTATATGAATGTAAATTGATTTCTCTTGCAAATGATACCAAATTTAGACCACTTAGTATTACTGGTCATGAGATAGATTAGGTTGGAAAACTCACACACATATCTAAAAATATATATGTTATATTAATATATATATATATATATATATATATATATATATATATATATATATATATATATATATGCATGCATGTTTCATTAAAAACGACAGACAAGGTACTACAGTTAAGCTTTTTATTTAATTTTTCTTGTGTTCAAACAAGAGTTTTCTTTTCTGGACAAAGAGTGTGTAAAAACTGTCCAAATGTTTTATAGTTCCAAGCACTTTCAGCTATACCTTTAGCCATTATCATAAAGGATGATTCGATTTTTCAGCTTAATTGAGTGTGTGCATTATGTGTATGTTTTAGTGTGTTATAGAGATGTTTTTAATTTCTGAATATGGATAACACATTATGACCTTGTTCGTAGTTAGTATTGTTAAAAGTTGGCTTTTTCTTTTTTATCATTAAAGCTTCCATTATTTTTAGTCTTTTTTTGCAGGTGGATGCAGTTAATATATTTGTGTTTTCTACTAGTATGTTTCTAATGGAGTTTGGTAAGTTTGTGTGTGTGTTTAAATGGGTTCTACTCGAGCTGTGATCAGATAGGTGTAACGTAAGACATCTGGATAAGCATATGGTTGTGTAACTAATGTAATTATTTATGAGTCCAGTTTGATCAGGAACACAGTTCCTTAAGGGGCATTTGAACTCATAGATAATGTTTGTTCTTTGTAATTTTGACTTAGCTGGTGTGTTGTTATTTTTGAGGATAAGGTTAGCAGTCTTAAATTTTTTATAATAGATAATTAATTTGATTTTTTTTATTCGGGTCAATTGGGATAGTGTATTTTTTTATAATATTTCTGAGTGAAGATTCGTCTCCATTAGAACCCATTTAAACACACACACACACAAACTTACCAGACTCCATTAGAAACATATTAGTAGAAAACACAAATATAATAAACATGCACATCATGCATACACTCAATTAAGCTGAAAAACAGAATCATCCTTGATAATGGCTAAAGATATAGCTGAAAGTGCTCAGAACTATAAAGTATTAGGACAGTTTTTACACACTTTTTGCTCAGAAAAGAAAAATCTTCTTTGAACACAAGAAAAATTAAATAAAAAGCTTAACTGTAGTATCTTGTCTGTCGTTTTTAATGAAACATGTATAAACGAAGGATTGCTGCATAAATATACAACTATCAAATATATATATATATATATATACATATATATATATATATGATAAAACAAGTAGGAAACAGAGCTCAGTCTAACATATTTCACTTTATTAAAGCTTCATCAGAGATCAAGACAAATGGTAAAAAATGATAAAAAGCAAAGAGACGCAGATTAATGGTATGCTGTGTTTGGTTATTTCTTATTGGTTAGATACGTGTCACGTGTAATGAAGTTACAGATAATATTCAAATATGTGTGAGAAACATTCTGGATGCTAAAGTGCGTAAAAGTGAAACGCAGCAGGATGTTTTGAAAAAAATTGTTTTGGTTTGATTTTTCATTAAAGCATATCTTGTACATATTTTTTTATATATCTTCATTGATTTTTACGTATTAGAAAGAGATAAATTAGATTCATGAATAATGGATCTGTAGAAAAATAGTGATGTAATGTTGTTTTGTAAATGTGTGTTTGTCGTTGGTAGTATTGCTATAATTACCTTTTCATAATATTTCCTCTTTAAAGGGTTATGTTCTTTTTTTTTAATAAGGCTGTCATTGGTTAAATTAAAGTTATATCCCATGTTGTTGTAGTGTAAGACAAGAGAGTTTGAATGTCTATCCAATTGCAAGTCTCTTTTGTGTTCCTGAATGTGACTTTTTAGATTGCATGATGTCTACCCAATATATATATTATTGTGTTGTAGACATTTAATTTTATAAACTCCAGCATTTGAATTGGATTTGTTTGATTTTTCATCCTGATTATATTTCTGATAGTCTTGGTAATAATTCATGTGTCAGGGATGTTTAATTCATTTGTGAGTTTAGTTGAAGTGTTGGAGGATAGAATTATGAATTTTTTATAATTTTCATTGAAAGTATTTGTTTTTATGGATTTTGTGTGCTCATTTTTTGTGTTTAAGATGAAATGCTATGGGTAGTGTAGGAGTTTGAATGTGTTCTCAATATAATCCTCTTCTTCACTAATGTATTCAGGGTTACATATCCTAAGGGCTCTAAGGTAAAATCCTATAATTATTCTAGATTTTATTCTCTGGTAGTGGTAGGAATAGAAATTGATAAGGTCATTTTTTTTTTAGTGGGTTTTTGGTAAACTTTAAAATTTTATTATTGTTAAATATTAAAAGGATATTGAGGAAAGGTAGAAATTATTTGTTTCAAATTCATGTATGAATTCGATGGTTGGTTCAACCTTATTGAGTTTAGCTATTATGTTTAAAAGGTTAATATCTTGTGGATAAAATAAGTGGACATCAACAATGTATCTTAGGTAAGTAGAGCTGTTAGGTATATGTTTAAATGGGGTGGATTCTAAGAATTCTAGAGAGGCAAATGAGGACACCACTGATAGGAGAAAGGCCAATTGTGTCTGGAATTAAAAGTGCACCCCACAATTTAGCTAGATCCATCACTAAAATCCTAATTCCATTCCTAGGCATTATCAGTACAACACACATCAAACATTCGGATGACTTACTCTAAAGAATACAACACATAAATATGACTAACATGTCTATAGCCAGTTTAGACATCAAATCACTCTACACCATTAATATACTATGAAAATCAACTCAATAAATCAAACCAAAACAAAATTTTTCAAAACATCCTGCAGCAGCCCACTAACTTTTACACACTTTAGCATCCAGAATGTTTCTCACACATATTTGAATATTATCTGTTACTTCATTACACATGACATGTATCTAACCAATAAGAAATAACCAAACACAACATACCAATAATCAGCATCTCTTTATCATTTTTTATAATTTCTGTCTTGATCTCTGGCAAAGTGGGAACTTTGTTTCCAACCCTATATATATATATATATATATATATATATATATATATATATATCTCAAGAACTTTAATTAAAAGAGAAGGCAATTTACTAAGAAGAAATCATTTACAATAAATTTACATCCAGGTTCTTCTAAAATTTAACTTTTCTTGGCTGATCTTCTATTATTACAATGTGGAGTATTTAATAATGATCTAGAATGTTTAATCTATACCGAGATTGGGAAGTTCTCTCTCACCCAACCATACTTTCCTGATCTGGCACCAACAGACTACCATCTATTCTGGGCACTGCAGAACTTCTTGAATGGTAAAATGTTTGTAATTGATGATGAACTAAAAACTGCAGTTAGTGACTTCTTCGATAACAATCTGGCTGAATTTTACAAGGGTATCCATGACCTACCCTGTCATTGGAAAGGGGTGATTATGTTGATGTTTGATCTACTTCTTTTACTGCATTGTATTGTTGTATATTGTTGTTAATAAAAGTTGTGCAGGAAATCTATAACTGTTTAAAAGTTGTAGATTTCGACTTCTAGTTGATCATGTAAAAGGTGTTAACATTTTGTATTGAAATACATAAATATGGGTGTATTCCCAAACTGTGTGTGAAACTTGCAGCTACATTTGAGTGCTTCTGGTCTTAAAAAGTTAAGACCAAACTATACAGAGCTACTGAGACACACAGAAAAATGAAAATACAGCACTGACTAGATTCATTATTATGAAATCATTGACATCTTTCAATGGAACTTTTGGCTATGATGCTTTGGGGTTTATTTCTGATGAAAGAATTTTTATGAAAACAGAATACAAGTAGTAGTTTCAGTTCATAATCAGTTACAAACATTTTACCATTCGAGAAGTTCTGCAGTGTCTGGAATAGTTGATAGTCTGTTGGCACCACGTCACATACAAGTATGGTGGATGAGAGAGAACTTCCCAATCCAGGTAGAGATTAAGCATTCTACACGATTATTAAATATCCCACATTATAATAGAAGATCTACCAAGAAAGGTGATATGTTGTAAGAACTGGATGTAAATTTATTGTAAATGATACCCCTCCACACCAAAAAAAAAAAAAAGAAGGTATTTTGACTGCATTTTGTACTTACATTTTGCTCCAGACCAAGGTTGTATTGATTGATTTCAGCTAAGACGTCCAGTGTAGGGTTATTACTCATAAGCCCACCATCCAGAAATAGTCCAGATGGACGGAAAAAAGTTGGGGCGGCACCAGAACATCGAGCAGCATGCCAGACTTTTTGTTCTGCATTATAAGAAGGAAAGAACAAAGAGGTAAGAAAAGCCAATAAATTGTCATCAAACTTCTTTCCATAACTTCAATAGAAATTCTTTTTCATTTGACCAGATTTTGAATAGTTTTATGACATCTACATGAGGGTCATTTTATAAAAAATACAGAGAAAATGTTTTAAACAAGTTTAACATCTTAATATCGCTTGACAAAAGAAATAAATGTGACTCCTTAAAGTAATCATGCTTAAATATTTGAAAGCTAATTTTACCCGAATATTTCAGCAGCACAACATTGGCATATTAGTATGTCATTTCAAGTCAGAAGTTTGAATCGGGAGATCACTTTAAATCAGAGTAGGGTTCATTTCATATACCTGATTGCTTTACATTATTTATATTATTTGGACTATTGTCCTCATCTTTGTCGCCATATTTATCACGTTTTGGCCGTTGTACGCTCCGGCCTTCTTCAGGTGGTTGGAATTTCGAACTGAACTCTTTATTTCACTCACTGGGGTAGACTGTTCTAGTTCCATGTGCCATGTTTTGATGGATGTCAGTTATTATTGAACTCACACTCTTTGGGTCCTGTCACTGGATCTAACCAACGCCTTTATCCACTGTGCCATGTGTCCTGACACATGGCACAGAGTGTGAGTTCAATACCCGGTTAAGGCAGTGGAGAACTTTCAGAGGGAAATTAGCAGAAGATAACTAATAACTGACATCCATCAAAACATGGCACGTGGAACTAGAACAGTCTACCCCAGTGAGCGAAATAAAGGGTTCAGTTCAAATTTCAACCACCTGAAGAAGGCCGGATAAACAACTGAAATGTTGTGATAAATATGGCGACAAAGATGAGGACAATAGTCCGAATAATGTAAATAATGTACATAATACCTCATCTCAGAAATATAGACAGACTGATTGCTTTAATAACAAAACCAAACAAGTGGCATTGGTTTCTATAACACATTTGGCATATGAGTTCATTTTAGAACATTACCAGTGTATAATAATTATCTTATGGGAAACTCTGGGAATAAAATGAACTGACACAAGAGTTAAAAATAATTATTTTTATGTCATTTCATCCGAAACAAGGCAGGAATGCCAGGAGTACACAGAGGTTTACAGGGAGTGAAATTGAGAGAAAAGACTCAGTATAGGGAGGATTGAGGAAAGGACAAAAGATGAACGGGATTCAAGAAAACAGAAGATGGTGATTGATGTTGCATTTAAATTTTTGAAGATTGTAGTTATCAGGGAAGCAAGTACACAGAAAGAAGTTCCACAGGCGGAAAGTGTGAGAAAAGAAACTGTTGGAGTAGAAGTGGCAGTTGCATTTTACTATTTTAACAGTAAATGGGTGGGACGTAGATGCCAATCTAGTGGCACACTTAAATTCATTCAGTCGGGAGCACCAGGGTAAAAGCTTGTCAGAGCAGTTGCCATGAAAATATTTGTAGAAAAGACAGAGGGAAGCCAGATCACATCAGTGAGAAAGTGACTGAAGTCGAGATGCCACGTCAGGATTGATTACATGACAGATCCTTTTTGGATTTTGTCCCAAATCTAGAGATGATTAGCAGGAACACCAGATATGGCAGCAGTATTCAATACATGGGCGAATGGTAGATTTGTAAATGTGTAAGATGGACTCTGACAAGGAAAATTTTCTTTTGTTCCATCCTCTCCTAGCATTGTTCTGGTCTCCTCTGGGCTGCCCTAGAGTGTCAAGTTTTTATATCTTTTTCAATAAGCTTGAGAATTTGGCGTGAACATCAAAGGGTCTCTTTGTGTCAATTTTTTTGATTGGTCAAATAATTTTATTTTCCATTGCTCCCTTTTTCATTTTTTTTTTTTGTTTATAACGGAAGGTAAGTGTGGAACCTCTTTGATTTTTTTGTATTTTTCAGTCACAAATAAATAGGCTGAACTCCTGCAAAACTTCTGGTGTTTTTGGTCGGGTTCAGTCTTTTCTTCTTCTTTCTCTTTTCATTTGAAGGTTGCATTCTTTTAGGTTGAGAGAAGTATAGAAATGGAAGTTTAGAGAGAGAGAAAGAGAAAGAAAGAGATAAGAGTTTTAAAGGAAAGCACAAATGCCTTATTTTAATTATTTTTATTTTTATATTTTATTTTTTTTATCAGGAATCACTACACACATATCTATTAATTAGCTGTTCATTTCAGGGCGTACATGTCTGTTAGTTTGACCAGTTAGTCCCTTTAGCAGAATCCTCCTCAGAAACATTTGTTTCTTCAATACCTACAGTGCCAAAGTGAGGTTTATAATGTAACTTGTTAATTGTAACTGTTGAGCGGCCCTTAGTTACAGTTTCTGGGACAGAGCACATAATCTGGCATGATCAGTCATTCAACAAGGCCAGTGATGACTTGTAACTTTTTTGCTAGCACAACCATTGTGTAGAGTAGAAATAGAATGTATCATTAGATAATGGAGGTTTTCCACAGACAGACACCGGAGGACATAAGTTTCTTCCTCCAGTGTTATATAAACAGCCGAGCGGCCAGAGGACAAGTGTATTTGTATTTCGTTACTACAAGAATAAAATAATTCAAAATTACTACTACTATTGTTGTTGTGGTTATTTTACACACTGATGGCTTCCAAACAGTTTCATCTAAGCAATTTCACTCACAAGTCTTGGGTCAACCTGTGGTATGGCTTTCAGGCACTTCCTAACAATGCCATAGACTTGGATCATCTCCCCATGTTGATATTGTGAAGAGGTCACCATCTTGACAATCAACCATAGTAAGGTTCAAAAGCCTGGGACTCATGGTTGTAATGCAAACATTCTAAGCACTTGGCTATGCATTAATGTATAGAGAAAGACACAAAGAAATTAAACTGGACATTTAATCCTTCAGACATATCTTTAAAAGTGTGAGTGTAGTTGTGTAACTTACCATATATCCTTGTAATCACAGAATCTGTCTCATCTTCAGGAAAAAATGATAATGGAATATAATTTCGAAACAGATGTAATTTAGGAGGCATACGGTTAGCTAGAACAGCAGTTACAATCACCCTGAAAGAATTAAAAAAAAAGAAAAACATTACAAAATTCTAATTCTTACAAGAAATATCACCAATTATTCAAGAACAATCAGCCTGTAAAAAGTAACAACCCAGTGTTGAATCAAAATCTTTTTAAAAAAAAAAAAAAAATAAAGACAGATGTCACAATCTTTAAGTATTTTAAATTTAAACTTTTTTAATATCTAGTATCAGTATTTAGCAAGAATTATTAAATGAAAAAAAAAGAAAAAAAAACTGCATTAAAATAATATTCAATTACAGTGAAGATTTAAAAAATATCTTAACTGCTATTACAAGCAATCATAAAAATTTGATTCTATACATTGTACCTGTATTGATTTGTTTTTCTTTATGGTTTATCAACGCATATTTTGGATTATTTTTATCGTTTATCAACCCACATTTTGGATTATAGGAGGTTGCTTACAGTACCCAGTGTTTCCAAACAATCACCCATCTAAATACTGATCTGGCTCAATGTGGCTTAAGCTCAGTGATTGAATTAGAAATGGCATTTTTAGCATGATTTGATCATAGCCAGGCTTATAGTATAAAGTGCATGATAAATGATTATCAACATTATTTAATTAAAACTGTTTTCATATTAAACAGATTCTCCAAGAGTCTAAGGAAAAAGTGTTATATACAAATTAAAATTTTTTTTTTTTAATCATTTAACCCCAAGCGAGGCAATAATGCCACTAGTACAAAGTGGATCAGGGAGTGAAAGAGAATGGAAAGACTGAGGATAGGGAGACTTGAAGGAAGGAGAAAAAAGGAACAGGGTCAAGAAAACAGAAGATGATGATTGATGTTATCAGGGAAGCAAGAAAATGGAAGGGACTGGTGGAAGTCCCTTCCATTTTCTTCTTTGAGAAAAAAAAAAATGTTGAGTAGATGTGGTATTAACATTTAGTTATTTCAACAGTAAAATGGTGGGATTTAGTTACTAAACTAGTAGAACACTTACATTCCTGTAGTTGGGGAACCAGGAAAAAAAAGCTTACCAAAGTAGTTGCCATGAAAATATTTGTAGAAAAGACAGGAAAGCCACATCATGTCGGTGAGAAAGTGAGATGCTAAGTCAAGATCGATTATTTTGCAGATCTTTCTTTAGATTTTGTCATGCTCTAAATCACGGAACATAAGATTAGGAAACAAGGAGAAATAATTAAAATAATCCCTATCATCAAAAATTAAGTCATACAAATATCAACTACAACTTTTCTTGTCCCTTGGGAGATTTTGTCAAAGACAGAGAAGCTGCATCATATTGGTGAGAAAGTGACTGAAGTTGAGAGATGCTTAGTCAGGATTGATTACATTACAGATCCTTCTTTAGATTTTGTCAAGAATCTCGAGATGTACAGCAAGAGCACCAGATCAGATATGACAACAGTCTTCAATACACGGACAAATGGTAGATTTGTAACTGTGGAACAGACCCCAAAGAGAATGTTTCTCCGATCACTACAATCTTAACCTGTTCAAGTCTAGAGTTAAACGCTATCTTCCCCTCCTATCCATATAAACTACCCTTTAATGTAACCCTCTACCTCAAGTGGCCCCTGGGCCTTGTACAGGGTGAAACTTAATGTAAAAAAAAAAAATAAAATAAATAATTGGGAATAGTGGATTCTGATGAGAAAAATTTTCTGGCAGGACTCAGTGACCCAACTGGGGAAAAAAAAATGATACACCTATTTGTAAAAATTGTGTATGTGTGTAATCAAACTTTTTACACTACTGAGATAAGTAAAAGTCATTTATACAAAACTAGGATGGCTGTTACTTACCTCTAATTAATCATCAGAGCAGTGAGATTGTAGAAGAAGACATTTGAGATTAGTAAAGCACAAATGTTCCCAAATAATTCAATCAATAAAATAACAAATGCAGTTTAGCTCCAAAGATCATCTTCTGTCCTACAAGATATGATCAAAGCTAAACTCACATTCAACTTGTGAGTTCTATCCCTAGCTGAAGTAGTTCAGAAATATATCTGGCTCGGTTAGATTAGCATTATAAGGATAAGAAAGTGTTGAAAATATCTGAAGAATCTCTTAAGAATGACACTGGACATGGTACCTATAGCATACCATCTTTGCTGATTGACAGGTTGTGACATTTATCAGAGAGATGAAATTTAAATTTTTATTATTGCATTATTCCCAAATTCTAACAAATCAGAAGATAGCTATTAATATCAACAACCGAGCACAAATAGTTATTAATTAAAAAAATTAGTAATTAATTTGTAATATTATCCCTAACTATATGTACAAGAATGTTGTTTTTGATAAAAGTTAAAAAATAACCATAAATATGTAAAAAATGCGTATATTGTTGAAAATTGCTTTTTGCACAATATATTGGGTTGGTGCATAATTATCAGGCGTTTTTCTAGGTGAGTTATTTGTTAATAAAAATTGATGTTTTGTTTATTTTTTTTAATAAAAATGTTTTATTTTCAGGTTATAAAAATGCATGTAGATAATCTTACACTCCTGAATAATCATTTAAAAATGTTATTGTTGAATTGTTATGTTTCTTTTTTCATAATAAATATTGTTTAAAAAACGCCTGATAATTATGCACCAGCCAAATAGCTATTTGTGCTATGTTATAATTCTTATTACCTAAACAATAATGATACTGAATAAATATTTTTAAACATTAAAGTATATTTCATTGCTAATAACTGTCGCGATCTGTGAATAAAGAGTTTAATTCAACATTTCCGGAAGTCTATGAAATATGTAAAAAAATACCTGAAGAAGACTGGTGGATCTGTTAACTGAAACATCATAACAAGGAAATTGGTCCTAAGATTTCAAAGTTGCTTGTCATGGGGTAATGGTTAACAAACCTGGTCTAGTTGATCATTACTATTGAGTAGTGTGTTCAGTCTCTAGACAAGAGTTGACACATCATAAAATCAATCAACCTAACAGAAAAAAAAAGAAAAAGTCTTGAAACACTAGTTCCTGTAGATCACTGAAGTTAAGCAATGTCAAGCCTGGTCACTACCAAGATTGCTTGGGAATACCAGGTGCTGCAATCTTGGATGTGTGGGTGGTGTAATGGATAATGGCTTGGAATTGTTAATCAAAGAAGTGAGTTCCAATTCCCATTGAGTTTGCTATATTCACAAATACCTTTGGGAAAGCTATGAATCCACCTCTTCTCTCCCCAGTTATGGGTTAATTAGTATGACTTTTATCATTAAATTATTGTCTTCAAAAAAAAAAAAAAAAAAATCTTAGAATTTAAAAATATTTTCTTAATTGGCAACTGGTTGATAAACCATAGAAAATGAAAACTGCTTTTTGAAAAAAATATCCTTGGAAAGATATGAATTCATCTCTTCCCCTAAGTTAGGGGTTAATAGAAAGACAGACTGGGTGCTCTAGCCTTAAGTGGCAATCAATATAGGAGAAGGAAAAACTAGCCTGAAAGGGGATAAATTCTATCAGACTATCTTGCTCTAGAGATAACACTGCTGTTATAGATGCAGTACATGTAGTGCTGCTATAACCCTGATGAGTTATAGAACTTGTGACATGAAAGGACTCGACAGTTATTAGAGATTAAGTCAGGGCTTCTTAACCTGGTATCTCTGGATAGATTTCAGGGGGACTGTGAGGATCAGATAAAATTAACATTTATATTTGCTATACAGCCCTTGTCCCAATCAGCAGGTTCCCATTGGAAGAAATAAAAAAAAAATGCATTCTACTATTGCTTGAAAGAAAACACACCTAACAACTATTTACAGTGTCAATCATTAGGCATCACTTGACTTACTTTTGGGTCCTGTTTACCATTTAAATGTGTGCCATCATTCTCTGCATGATCACCATCTTTTGCCACTCCATAAGAACAAATGATAATTCTTTCTACAGTTTATCATAGCATGATTATCTTCTCATATACTGGTGTGGATTAATTGATCACAATTTCTTTTAAGTGTGGCTGGCTGAAAATTGATGTGCTTACAGTGTGTGTGCAGTATGGAGAAATGCACAACAAGTGTTGTGAAAAAACAATTAGAATGTGAATATTTGTTTGTCTGTCTGTCTATGAAGGGCAAGTACTTATAAGGTTCTGTGACTCAAAAAAGGTAAAGAATCATTGGATTAAGTGAGAAACAAAAATCAAGATTTCACAAACTCACTTTGGGTGAGTGATAGAATCCATTGTGGTATGTTCTCCAAATTCTTTCTTCAAAATCTTCTCCAAGTTTTCAGAAGAATATGGGCGCTTTCCATAGAACACTTCATCTTTCATCCGGAAATATAAACCTTTGCAATATTGCAATGATTTACCTGTAAGTAAAAAATAATGGAGAAAATGATTAAAATATATATATATATATATATATATATATAATAAGCAAATGTAAATGGATATAAATCCGACAAATGAAAAATTTTGAAAAAACAAACAAAAAATATCTAAATTTAGTTATCTGTTCTGAATAAGACTTGTGTTTGATGTCCATCGTTTTATCAAATTGAACTGAATTCATCAAAATTTGATGAATATGTCTTGAAAAAGGTTTAATAAACCTCAAACGTCTATTTCCATTTCTTTCATTTAACTAAAATTTAAGGAGTTTTTGTTTGTTTTTTCACAAATTTTCATATATATATATATATATATATATATATATATATATATATATAATAAAAAGGCTTTTATTATATCCTTACTCTGTCCTGGCACATTGAGTTTACCTGGATTCTTCCTCTTGGAATTTTTATTCTAAAAATATACATGTTTGGGTATTTATATATTTTATATATGTATATATATTTACCACTAATATATATATATATATATATATATATATATATATATATATATATATATATATATATATATATATATATATATATATTATTTATTTTTTTATTATGATGTTGAAAGTATGATTGAGTTTCATATTCAGTACAATCTTCAGGTATTTATAATAGTGATGAACTGTTTGTTACAGTCATTAGTATTAACGATCATAATGAACAGTTCATTACCATTATAAGTACCTGAAGATTGTACTGAACATGAAACTCCAAGTCGCACTTTCAAGGTAAGGTAATATGTATATTTATTAATATATACTTTATAGATCTGTATTACCATACTGATCACTGTTTTGTTAACACCAAAAATTAAATAAAATATTAATTTGCAAATTTATATATGCACGTGATCACATGCATGTATGGTTGCTTGTATCTATATTTATTTAACTATATATATATATATATATATATATATATATATATATATATATATATATTCAAAAATTATAGCATAAGCATGTTATAACATTACTAGAAAAATAGCCATTTTATTTCAACACTTCTGGTGTCTTATCAAGTGATGGTGTTGAGTTTTTTTTGCAATCAACACGATCACTTGACAAGACACCAGAAGTGTTGAAACAAAATGGCTATTTTTGCAGTGATGTTATAACATGCTTATGCTATAATTTTTTCAATAAATATTATTTGCTCTACTCTGTATTGAGCACTCTTTTTTTTGGTTATGGAATTTTATTCCATCTATACCAACCCTGTACTTGGCTTTATATATATATATATCAGATGAAAAAATGATTTTTGGGATTAATATGAATTTGATTCACATATATATTATATAATAAGATGATAAAATATAGTTTTAATGCATATCTATTGGTTAAAGTTCTCAATATCAGGGATATGTAAATATAAAAGTGAATACTGAAGTCAACACCCAAAGGTGACAATCTTTTTCATGCTTAAATGCAATTGTTTATATATATTTGGGGAACTGCTTTGGTATTAAGAAACTAAGAAGCAAGACTGACATTGCTAAATGAGACTAAAAGTAAAACGCTTAACAGATTTTCACTAAGTTGCCTTTGTTGGTGTGACATTAAATAAGGCGAGGCCATATTCCTCAGCATGAAAACTCACTGTTTACATAATTGAATGTGAATAGTCATTGTCACCACTGTGCTAGTAGGAGTAATGTCCCTTTGTCCGGCTGCTGCTGCTGCTAATGTTATTTGTATATCCAGTCAAATCAACCCCATCAAAGTGAATTTATCACCAGAATTTTCTAAACATGGGAGTTTTCTTTAGAAAATTCACTACCTGTTTTCATTTTCAAGATTTAAAATCTTTCAATCTCTCTCTCTCTCTCATGTATGTCTGTTTTCAAATGCAAAAGACAATGAGGGAAAGGCTATTTAAGAAATATATTTGGGGAAATTGTTATATAGCTATATTATAAATAATTTTTTTTTTAATCAATTCACTCCAAGCAAGACGATAATGCACTAACACACAAGGGGCTACTGGAAGTGAAAGAGAATGAAAAAGAACTTAGAAGGAACCAGAAACCCAATCCTAAACAAGAAATAAAGGATAACCCTTTACCCTTGTTCAAAAGACCTGGAGAGGAATGTGAACCAGATGACAGGCGAACCTATCTACTCATATTGAGGAAAAAAATAAACAGTAAATAAGATTTCAGAGTTAAGGTGGAAACATCAGAAGTTTAAAGTTGAAGTAGAATTTAAAAGGAATGGAAATCCTAAACAGGAAACAAGCCATAAACCTTTAAGTCTGTTCAAAAGACTGGGAAGGATATGAAATGACGATAGGCAAACCTATATATTCCTATTGCGAAAATAAATAGTAAATAAAATTTCAGAGTTTAGGCAGATACATTAGAAGTATAGAGTCTGAATTACTTGTCTACACTGGGTAGGTAGTCAAGACTTAGATGAAAGTTGTTTATAAGGACAGTAAAAAAGGCTCATTAGTTCTGTGATGGTTACTTCAAACATTATGTTTAGTGGATACTCATATCTGAGTAGATACTCCATTTTTTACTTTAAACAGTATTTATTTCATCTACACTCACGAAAACCATATCGAGAAAATTTGCCAAAAATAATTGTTTGAAAACAATTATTCAAATTGTAAATTGTTTAAATGAAAATTAATTGAAAGGACAATTATACTAAATAATAATTATTGAAAATAACTATGTTTGAAATATGTATGTGGTCTTGCTTTGAGAGTCAATGCTGATTTACCTAGAACTAATAATGCCCTTGAAATATGGCATAGGGATTTTTTCAGCAAATGTCATCTCATCATCCCACAATTTTAGATGCTCTTGTAAGAGAACAGGTCTTGCAAGAAATTCATATTGCAAAAGTAAGCGTATGTTGCCAAAATATCAAGAGCACCAAGAAATATCGCAATGCAAATGGAAAACTTAAAAGAATTAGTGGCATTCTTTAACAAATACTCTTCAGTAGTTGACTATTTGCATGCAGTATCATATAACTTAAGGTTATAAGGAATTTTTTCTTACTAAATTGTTTTATTAACAATATTTATATTTCAAATAATTGTCATTTGTGTATTTTCTCTTAATTTTTACATTTTTATTGTAATAAAGAATTTTACATTTTGAATAATTAGTATAATTTTACTTTTGATTAATTTTCATTCAAACAATGTTCACATAATCAAGAAAATTAATTAAAGAAAATGTACCCTCTGCCAGGATTCGAACCCATATCTCATATATATATAAGCAGCATATCTTCATTCAAACATGTTTCATTGAATAATATAGGAACTGTATTACAAAAACTACTTTTGACTTGTACCACTGAGGTTCATTTCTATGACCATCAAAATAACATCTACGTACATGATGGTATTTCCATGGGTTCAGTACTGGGACTAATATCTAATAACTTCTACATGGCTAACCTTGAAAATAAAATATTTAACACCACTAAAAAACTTTCCATCTACCTAAGTAAATGATATTATCTTAGTTAAAAAAATATAGATGAAATACATCAACTACAAGAAAACTTTTAAAATCTCTGTTCATAACTTCATATATGAACTTAAGAATAAAATCCCCTTTCTTGAGGTATTGATAGATACTAATAATAATACATTTACTGCCACCCCATATAAAAAACAAACTAACATAAACACTTGCACTCTAAACTACAAAAGTGAATGCCCTGACTATTACAAAAAAAGCTATTATTCAAAATTTGATACACCATGCAAAAGTTAAAATTTTCTACAATGAATTAAAAAACATTAACAAACTCATTAATAATGACTTTCCTCATTACATCATTTAACAAATTAGATGAGATGTTAGAAATATTAACAAAATTAAAAAAGAACATAATACTTCCTTAAATAACCCTGAACATATCAGCCTACTATACCATAATCGAATGCGTTCTATCTATAAACAAGATAAAAAAATATCCTAAAACCTCTCATAAGTAGTAATATATTTCCTACTGATCCCAGTAAAAAAATAAACCTAATTATATATTATACTAAATTTAACATAACTTAATCATACACAATAACTTTTCTTTGTCAACTAGTCTTTTGGAAAAGACCAACATTGTATATCAGTTTAAATGTCCTTTAGGAGATTGTATCTCTGACAAAAAAGTACGTACATATGTTGGTTTAATGATTACAACATTATCAAGATGTCTTACACTTCCATTTATCAGATACAAATTCTATTGCGCAACATCTAAAACACATTCCTGTCCACCTTCACAATACAAGAAAATACTTGTTGACAACACCAATGTACTACACCACAAAAATAATAAACAAAAACTTCAAATCCTCAAGGCCCTCTATATCAAATGCAACCAAATAACACTGAACCAAATTTATTATGAACACAGCAACAACATATTAAAGTGCATATAACATTTAATGCCATTTTACATTTCTACCAACTGGCAAAGGGTGGGACCAGGATGCCAATCCAGTAGCACACTTAAATTCATGTAGTTGGAACAGCAGGGAAAAAAGCTTGTCAGCTTTCTATGAAAATACTTGTAGAAAAGACAGAAGGAAGCCACATCACATTGGTGAGAAAGTGACAAAATGCTAAGTCAGGATCGATTATATTACAGATCCTTCTTGGGATGAATAGCAAGAGCACTAGACCAGATAGGGTAAAAGTATTCAATGCATGGGTGAATGGCAAATTTGTAAAGATGTGCAAGATGGACGCTGACACGAAAAATCTTCTGGCCTGACACAGTCGCCCAACTTTCCTTGTAGTTTCTTTATTCAGAAAAAAAAAAAAAAACATTTTCGGTCAATCTAATTAAGAATTAATAAAAAGAAATCTTAAAAAAAAAACGAACGAGACAAGACATGCATAGACATGGACAGTGGAATGAGATACTATTTGAAATTACCTGAAAGTTACCTGGATTGACAGATACCTGAAGAATGGCAGAGAGTATAATAGCTGAAGTGTTGTGGTACTAAAGATAAGTATATTCATCTGTATGTAAATAATAACTCCTCATCCCCAAAATTCAGACAGAAACAGGATTCCTATTTCAATGAATGGTAAAAGGTACACTAAATTTAAGGTAACTAACTTTTAGTTTGTTGAGAGGATATAAATAGAACATTAGTAGAATGTATGATAATGAGACAAGCACATTTACCATGGGCAATGGCCAAAGCAAGAATACCCCCTGTGCTGGTACCCCCAATCCAGTCAAAGCATTCCCTAATTGGGCGCTGCACCCGACGTTCAATCTCAATCAGAAGCTGAATCAGTACCAGACCTCGTATTCCACCTCCATCCAGACACAAAACCTACAAAAAAAAAAAAAAAAAAAAAAAAATATATGGTGAAGGTCAAGATTCAAAAGCAGTTGGTGGGTGATATAGGATTTTGATTATTAAAAAAGTATTTCAACATATGCTACCTGAAAAAAATATTCAAAGGATATATGTAAAGAAGCTGTATAAAAAAAAAAGTAAAAAAAGGAGGCTAAGTGTGAATAAATGAGTCATGTTGCTAGAAAAGATATAAATATTGTTTGGTATTTTTCTATATAGTTTTCAATAGTCATGTTTACTTTTGTTTGTTCTTTAATACTGTAGTAGTAGCAGCAGCTACTGCATAAGTCAGCACTATTTGTTACCTCCCTTTGGTATTTTCTTTTTACTATATCATAAAGTCAGTTTACAAAACCACTAACAAACTTTTACTAAACAATCTTGGTATGTTTTTTAATATTTACTATACAGGTGGGTAGTGATGCAAAAAGGTTGGGAACCCGTGTTCTAAAGTCTTCTACAAAAAAAGAAAAAAAGGAAAACTTAAATATACTTATGGGCATTAACAATTAGATTAGCAAATAAGACAGTATATATCAATTAGAATCAAATATAGATCAAATATGGACTGGAATCCAACAGAATAATAGAATAAAAAACAAATAGGAAAGGTTTATTAGTCTAATATGTTTCAGTTTTACTAAAGCTTCATTGGAGAATAAGATATGGAGAAAAAAGAAGAAAGAAATTCTGGTATTTTTATTTTTGTGTTGTTTGATTTTCATTGGTCAGTCAGGCTCCATGTGCATTTGACTTGTTAAAAAATGTTAGTATAGTTTATAGCATTCCAAATTCAAGGAGAGACAATGCATCCTATTGAAGGTCCAAGAAACCAATGGATTCCAAACCTAACTGATAAAATGTAAATATTGCTTTATGTATGTAAGTGTATCATATCTAGCTTGTCAAGACAAGAAAGAACTAAGTTGGATGAGACTGAGAAGTGGCCTATCTTATTGGACAGGAAGAACTACCAGTATGCATTTGTATATTTTGACTATACATTTGGGGTGGGAAATGTTTTTACAGTCATTGACACTTTGATTGGAACCAGCAGATCCCTATTTGTTCTTTATCCTATCACAAGATATATATATATATTTTTTTTCAATTGCTAGTCATATCACATGGAAGGCATGAGTTTGATAAAATTGAATTGTTTGATGGGTGGTGTAAATTTTAAAAAACTACTTCTTTACCTTTTTTCCCCGTGCAGGATGATAAGTGGTTTCATGAATAATCTTGCTGTTCATCATTTCTTCGCAGAAAGCTGTGTGCCAAAAGAAAGAAAGGTATCAAAATCTGTACATAAATAACAACATTTTTAATATATATATATATATATATATCACCTGAGGAAGGCTGGAGTGTACAACGACCGAAACATTGTGAATATGAGAATAAAGATGAAAACAACAGTCCAACTAGTGTAAATAGTTACAACACCTCATCTCAGAAATATAGACATATGTCAACAACTATACCGTTTTGTCTCATTTAGTTTAAAAGTGATACTTCAATTAAGTCAATGTTTGTTGATTTGATTAACAACATTTGTGTCGTTTTAGTCATTAAAACAGCTATGTCTGTACATTCTTCTTCTCTGGCATTTCTCATCAATGTGACATGGCTTCCCTCTGTCTTTTCTACTAATATTTTCATGGCAACTGTTCTAATGAGTGTCCTAACTACATGAATTTAAGTGTGATTGGCAAGTAGAAATCACTTTAACTGTTGAAGTAAAACTGCCACTTCTATTTTCTTGCATTTATCACCTATGGAACTTCCTTACAATATCTTGCTTCCCTGGCACCTACAATCTTTAAAGATTTGAATATAACATTAACCACCATATTCTGCTTTCCTGAATCCTGCTTCTTTATTGACCTTGCTTCACTTCTCCTCACTAAAGTCTTCTCATTCTCTTTCACTCTCTGTAACACCCTGCCTCCTAATGACCTTATTACTTTGCTTGGGCTGAAATGAATAATAAAAAAAATAAACAAAAGTGCCATGTCCATTCAGGATATTGGTGATCATGGCTCTCCACAATGTCTTTTTGCTATTTTTCCTAAACCCTGTTCTGCCACCCATTTACATAAACTTGTCAGATAAGTTATGCACTGTTTTTCTGTCTCTCTTTCCTTCAATATATCCTGTGAGTGTTAAATTTTCCAAGCCCTCTTTCCTCATTATGCACCCTTGAAATTTCAACTGTCTCTTTCTGATGTTAAATACAAATGTCCATTTTCTCTAAAGCTTTGTTGTACATTTTTGGAGAAAAATCCATCTCAGACACACTTATTCCAACCACCATTTCTATTAATTTTATTAAATGAAACACATTGTTGTGTTGTCCTGAAAAGGACAGTTTTATAGTCACTGAAGAGCAATGTCCTGAAAAGGACAGTTTTATAGTCGCTGAAGAGCAATGTCCTAAAAAGGACAGCTTATTGCATATTGTTGCTGCTGGCAAGGATGGCTGGAGCTGGAGATGACTAGAGCAGTGACTGGTGTTGGCAAGCTGGTGATGATGATGTTGGCTGGAACTGCTGCTGGCAGGAGCTGTGGGCCAGGTTTTGGCTGCTGGAACACATACTACACTTTGATCTAGGCCACAGAATAATATTTTTTATGCTTTAAGGCTTTTTTATATCCTGAATCAGATTTACAATGATGTCTGGTTAAAACTTTCCTTCTAATTGTGTTTAAAAATGTGGGAGTGCCAACAGGACATGGTAAATGTATTCAGAGCTAGCCACAATTTAAAAAATGCTTTACAACTTCTAGTAAATGTATTTTTTAATTTTCCCAGTTACCATCATAAGCAAATCTAAAAAAATATCTCAAAACTTACTGCTAGGGTAGTGAAGCTTCACGACGATGGAACGTTACACAGGAATATTATCCCCAGCCCTATAACTGTCAATTTGTACTTTAAGATTGATACTAGATAAGTGAAAATCAAGTGAGCCTGTTATCACCAAGCCACGATCAGGGCGACCAAGTAAAGTAAAACCCCAGACACTAAGGTTAATTGTATGAGAAGCTAAGATAAACTCTTGTATTACATCATCTGATCCTCAGGCAACAGTAAGCCACCACTTAAATAAATTTAGGAGAGTCTCTAGTGTTTGCAAAAATAACAAAAAAAAAAACATTTAAAATCTATATAAACTAAGATTTTGTAAAATGAACAAATTAGATTCAAATTATAGTGGACACGTTACTAGATCATATTCTATTAATCAGTTTCAGACGAAAAATAAAAAAACAACTTTTTATTGAAAACTATTAGAATACAATACCCCAACTTCAAATAAAATTTAATTATAATTTATGGAGAAAAAAAAACAAACATTTAAAACATACATCAAATTATTAATCTGCAAATTTCCAGCTTTAAAGTTTATATATATATATATATATATATATATATATATATATATATATATATATATATATATAGTTATTATATGATAAATGTTCCATTCTTCAAATAATACACATTCAAATATAGTCAAGCAGTTTTCTGCTAAATGTTCCCATATATTCTTGTGTTTACTAATATGTCTATGCACCAGTTATAAATAAAATGCTGCCATATAGTGATTTTCAAAGTGTAGCTTAGATGTGGCACAAGGCCGAAAGTATGGGGCACCCAGTGAGGATCGAACTCACTATTCAGTCGTAATTGTTCTAGCAAAACAAACTTGCTAACCATTACACCGTCTCGAGGTGCACAAAATGCTACCATATAAAGTATGGAGAGATAGTTGCAAAGAGCCCAGGTCTGAAAAAGTCAAAGTTCTGGAGTCATTTCCTTTGATCATCTGTGTGGCTCACTTTTTATTCAGTATTTTGACCATGTATGCAAATTAGTGATACTTTTAAAAGAGAACCATGCATGCATTTTGACTAAATTGCAAATGGAAGCTCCAACTGGGCAGGCAGGACATTGTGGCCTCTTAGCTTGAATTTCTTGGTTCAATTTTACCACATCAAGTAGCCAGTCTGAGTGACAGTCCAAGTAACAGTAGGAGTAAAGTCTGAGTCAAAGCAGTAAGATGAGTCATTAAGAAACCTTCTGGTGTCAAGTCTGTTTTCCTGTCATATGAAAATTTTCATCAAAAGAAGAAACTAGACTAAAAGAAATATAAGAAACAAATATTGCAAAACACCTCAACAATTTCTGGGATATAAAATTTTTATTTTACACTTTATATGCTTTTTTCTTTAGCATTCCTTTTTTTCTTTTATTGAATTGAATTATATTTTTTTTTTTTTTGCAAGGCCAAATATTCAACCTTACACAACGTTCCAGAAGTGGTAAGGAAGAAAGAATAGTTAAGACGGAAATACATAATTGATCTCTTCAAATTTATCAATGATCAGGGAACCAAAACTACGACAACATACTGGAATAATATTACATGGGCAGATGAAACTGAAACATTTCAGACATAATTACCAATGTTTTATTTTGTGGGAACTAAAAGAAAACACAATGAGAAAAGTCTACCTTTCTATCGGAAAAACAGACACAGTGATGTTTTGGAAGCCAAAAGTCTTGATCAGCTTATCAAAGGCCAATCAATATCAAGATTTTTTTTTTCAAATATAAAATTGTCTGATAAAAAATTGGCAACGTCCAGGAAGTGAATATTCCAACAAGATAATACATTGTAACTGTATCACAGAAACTACTCGAAAATAGTTCACAGACAACAAAATTAGAGCATTAGAATGGTCATCCCAGGCTTCAGATTGCACATGAGAGAAAAATCAGAAATTTGCAAGCATTGGAACAATAGAAAAATGGGGAAAAAATTTGATTATATTTATAGTCCCACCTATATAAGAAAAAATGCTATGGCCCTTCAAGATATAGGCGATCATGTAAAATCAGAAATTTCTTTCATTTTTTTTATCTTTATTGGCCAAGTGTTCATGTTGGTGATGTAGCTTGTTCATTGCTTTCTCAACAGTTTTTAGAATTCAGAGTATTCTGTCTTGGCTACTCAAGGCTAGAGAGTTCGGTCTACTCTGCTATTTAATCCATAGGTAAGAGACAAAAATGGATCCAAACCTCTAAGAATATTTATGTGAAAGATTTGAACTCAACTTGCTAATCCCACTTTCTGTGATAATGATTCTATGTTATGCACATATTTGCAATCTGCCTAATATTAAAGACAATCCTAGAAGTGTCATTGAAATTCACTTGGCTTTTTGTTACTTATATGATTAGTCAAAAATAAAATTTTAGTCATTAAAATAAACATTTAAACCTTTCCTTTCTCTGCTTGGTCAACAAATAGTAATTTGTTCTTTTGTAAGTTAGTTACTGACAATGAAAAAGGGATTTGTCACAAGAATCCAAAACAATGAAAATCATGCCTAGATCAAGGACAGCTTTTATAGTAAAGAACACTGGACAGTTTCTTCACAGATGAAAAGGTGATAAGACAATAGAGATATAGTTTTACAAAAGGATGCTGAAAATGTCATAGATGGGACATGTGGGCAATAAGGAAGTTTTAAGGAAAATAGAAATAGAAGGGACATTTGTACTTAGGATCAGAAAGAGACAGGCGAAATTTCCAGGACATACGATGATAAAAGAGGGTGCAGAGAATTTGATACTCAAAGGGCATACTGAAGGGAAGAGTAACATATCTAGTGAGCTTGTGTAAATGGATTGCAGTGCATGGACTGGGAGGATTAGTATAGGGATAAACACTGCTTAGAGGTACAAAGGATACGAGCCATGATCAGAAGCAACATGCACATAAAAGAAGTTTCTAATCAAGAAAATATATTCTGAAAGAAAAATTATTTTGTGAAGTTGCTTTTTTAAAGCACACAAATATTTCCAGACTTTAATAAAAAGAGAAATTATAGTCTTATACTGAATGGTTACAAATGGAAATTGTTATAATGGTAATTAATTTTTTAATAATACAATCACTGGTAATGGAAACTGAATCTGTCACAAGAATCCAAAACAATGCAACGAGATCTAACTCTTTTACTGACTAGATCTAAGACAGCTTTTAATATTCCAAATGGAAATAGAATCTTCTGCGAGAAAAGTTCTTTTCTGATTTTAATGGAATTCAAAAGGTATTTTTTTTATACAAATTGTTGAGATTTTGATAAATCATTACTGTGCAATACTATAGTAAGGTACTAGCTTGTTTGAACAATGCATCAAAAAAGAAAACATCTTTTTTCTAAATAAGGAAGTCAAGTACATGTCCAGAGCTTTTTCCTTGGAGCTACATAGTTTACCAATGACCTTCCCATCTGCTACCAACTAGGTATTTATGCTGATGACATAACTATTTGTCTTGTAAATCTGGTAGGTAGGATAAAGTAAAACTGAAAAGACTTCCAATTATTTGTTAACTGAGGCAAGGACTGGCTTGTTAATTTTCACACCTCCAAAATGAAACTGCTCTATTTACATTATTTGGACTATTGTCCTCATCTTTGTTGACATATTTATCACAACGTTTCAGCCGTTGTATGCTCCGTCTTTCTTCAGGTGGTTGGAATGTCGAACTGAACCCTTTATTTTGCTCGTTGGGGTAGACTGTTCTAGTTCCACGTGCCATGTCTAATGGATGTCAGTTATCAGCTATCTCCTTGTTAATTCCCCTTTCCAAGTTCTCCACTGCCTAAACCTGGTGTTGAACTCACACTCTTTGGGTCCTATCACTGGATGTAACCAACGCCTTTATCCAATGTGCCATGTGTCCTTTTCTATAAATATTTCTGTTTTAATTGTTCTAATCTTCTCTTCCTTGGTGCCTTAACTACATGAGTTTAAGTGTACTACTAGATTGACAACTAAGTCTCATTGTTTTGTTGCTGAAATACCTAGATGTAACCATGAGTTCTTCTCCAATAATTTTTTTTTTGCACTTCTCACCTGTGGAAATCTCTTCCAATTACTTGCTTCCTTGCCACCTACTTTCTGTGAGAATTTAAATGCAATATCAATTGCCATTTTCTTTCATCAGGTAAGAAAAAAAACATCCCAACCATGTTGCTGGAGCCACCCTTTTATCAGCTTGGTCATGTGTGAGGTGACAAGATCACACCCTTGTACAGACATTGCTTTTCTCTTTTAATGAACAGATCATCTCAGTCTGTCCAGTGTTTCACTGTATCAGATTGCATTAATTGTCTGACCATATGGTATGAAATCCACAAGTAGCACATCTTTTGCATTCCAGAGTACAGTTGCCATTTCTGAGTGCTGAACTTTGAAATTTGGTCAACAATGGATGATTCCAGATCACGGAATCAACCTTTGTCTCCCAGCTATTGATCCAAATCCTGAATGGAAATGTTTGTGTTGGAATTTGTGTTCTTCAGTCATTTGCTTTGGGATCCAACAAGATTTCAATTTCTGATATCACAACTTCTTGTGGATAATTTCATGGACCACTGACTTTGGAAGATGAAGTTCTCCAAAGGGTCAGTAATGTTATCAGTCCTAACCTGGCATCTCAACTTCAGTCATATTCTTACTGTTATGACATGACTTTTCTGTGCCTTTTCTATGAATAATTTCATGGCAATAGTTTTAATGAGCTTTCATCCCTGGTACTTTGATTGCATGAATTTAGGCATACTACTACTCACCCTTTTACTGCTGAAATAGCTAGATGTAACTGTTAGTTCTATTCTAATTGTGTTTTTTCTTATACTTTATTGCTTCCCTGCTACCTACAACATTTAATAATTTAAATGCAATGCCAAATGACATCTTTTGTTGTCCTGATTCCTGTCCTTTTATTGTCCTTTCTCCTCACTAGTGTTTTCTCATTTTCTTTCAGTCTCAGTAACCCCCTTGCATCTTAGTGGCTTAATTGCCTTGCTTGGAGTGAAATAATTAAAAAAATTATCATGAAGTTTGTGCCATTTATCCTCTTGAAGAAAAACTTCAATGCATGCAATGTGTCTTTTCTTGTTGATGTCCTATATGAGGTTTGCTCGGCAGATTCACATGTCTCTCTGGGAATGCACTACACCTGACTGATACCTGTCTCTCTGGGAATGCACTACACCTGACTGATACCTGTCTCCTAGTTTCATGTTCACCATACACAGCAACAAGCTCATTTTTACTATGGCATGCAAAACACTTGCATCTCCATTGCAGTCATTTTCGCAGGGATGTTACACATGCATGTACTCAATATAAAGGTAATACTGTATACTAAGATTCTTGAGAAAGGAGAGACAATGCCAGCATGTGATACCATTGACAAATGCCTGATCCAAGCTCTGTGAATGAAATTGGGTAGTAGAAACTGTTCACAAACCATTGGTGATTGTGCTAGCACAAAGTCACAAGTCATCATGACCGAGGGCTTGAGCATACTGTCCCTTTTCAACTCCTGATCACACCAAATTATACACTCTCTCCTATAAACTTTAACTGAAGCTGGTTCTGCATAGTTGCAGTATAAATTACAAGTTGGCTCTATGGATGTTGAAGAAACAGTAATGCATCTGAGCAGGCGTCTGCAATAGGTATTAATTAGCCACCATAGATTCTTAAGAAAGGCGCAGCCAGTTATTTATTTACATAATCACAAACAAAGAACTTTATCAAATAACAGACACCATACCAGTTGAGGACTACCAACATCAGCAACAACTAAAATGGATATCACATGTAGCTCAAAGAGAAAACAATGACATGATCAAGATGTTGGAGTTCCAGACTACTTCAAATAAAAGGTTAGGAAGGAAACCTCCATCAGTACTTAAAAGAGTGATAACAGCTACTGGACTTGAGAAACCTGTTTTCATGAAAAATTGTATTAATAGAAACATTTTATCAATTTCCACCAACAATAACACTAGTTGCTCTCTTAATGAATATCGGATGTTTCCTAATAAGGTAATTGCTAATATTGCCATTACTATTAGAAACAAGGAGAACAGATAATACACTTTGATTCCAGCCCGATGGTCAAGGAGTGAAGAAAAGCGTTACTCAATTAGCACAGGCTGCTTGATTAATGAATACCAAATGTTTTCTCATGAGAAAATGGCTGATATTACTATTTCCATTGATATGTCTTTACAGCTTTCATAATGTTTTAATTCTGGTTGGCTTATGCCTATTCAGGTCTTATTTTCTGGATATTCATTATATTTTGCAAATTTGAAAATTCTTAATGTGTTCTCAAGTGTGTAGGATCAGGATAACAGCTTAAATTTATTTAAACAATCTCATTAAAAGCAAAGAATAATCTAAGAAGATTTTATCTTGGCTGTTTGTTGGCTAAAATAAATGTGGCAAGGGTTACATACACATGCAATACAGAATAAGTGGAGATGCTTCAGACTAATACTTACCATCTACGTCGATGGAATCTCTGGATTTCTGCTTAGCAGCACCATTAAAAGTACCTTCTGCCACACAACCCCTCATGCAACCACTCATGTCTGGGTTACAGCGTACAGCACCACATTCATGTAAGACATAGAGAATCTCGCCACTAACATAAAAAAAAAAAAATATTAAAAAATTGGCATATTGGGGTTGTCACAGGAGGGTGGAACTGTGTTTGATAACAGAGAAAGAGCAGCTTTTTTTCTCTAACCTTAAAATGGTTCACTTTAAAATATCTTTCCAGAGCTGATGTGTAGTTGAGATATCTGATAGGTTAATACAGGTTTCTTCAAAGTACAGCTCCTGACCCATTACTAGGTCACATGTTCACAATGAATAAAGTGAGAAAAAAAAAATATGAATGACAACAAAATAATTAAGAATTTGAATTTATTGATTATTTTTTATGGCTTATCAACCTTTGCAGGTTATTTAAAGCCAGAAAATAATTTTTATTAGATTGTAAGAATTTTCTGGAGATAATAATGATACAAGTCCTACTAATTAACCCATAGCTGGGGGAGAAGAGGTGGATTCATCTCTTTCCCAAGCGTATTTGTGAACAAGTGAATATAATGAATCCAACTGGAATTGGAACTCAGCTCTCCAATTTCCAATAGCTAGCTGTTATCCCTTACACCAATTGCACATCCAAGCTTACAGCTGGTATTCTCAAATGGTCACCCATATAGGTACTGACCAAGGTCATTGTTGCTTAACTTCTGTGATCATACAAAAATGAATAATGAAAAGAATTTGAAATAAGAACATAATAATCCTATTCTTACTTTTGTCAAAAAAAATTTATTTGACTATATTTCTGAAATGAGGTATTGCCACTACACTATTTATATTGTTCAGACTGATGTCCTCATCTTTATTCACAACATTTCGGCTGTTGTACAGTCTGGCCTTCTTCAGGTAATATATGTGGTCAGGTATTGAGCTCATAACTCTTTGGGTTAAGTCACTGGATTATTTCAACCAATACTTTCATCCACTGGGCCACGAAGTAAAGGGTTCAGTTTGAAATTCCAACGTATATCACCTGAAGAAGGCTGGAGTGTATAACAGCTGAAACGTTGTGAATATGACAATAAAGATGAGGACAATAGTCCACACAATGTAAATAGTGTAAATAATAAATATTTGTTAAACTATTTAATCGTAACAGTAATATAAGCTTTGGTATGCTTTAAAAATGACAATGGATGTTTAATAAGAGAGAAGTTTAATGGGATAGACAAGACATTTCATAGTCAAAGAAACATTCTTTGTCATGTCTAAAACAAACATAAGTTTATTTGCACTTGAATCTCAATAAGAACTGCTCCCTTTTCCTTTTTTAAAAGTTGTAGTAACCCTGATATAAAATGGATCCTTTTTTTATGAAGGAGAATGGAGTGTTTTTTTTTTGTTTTTTAAGGCTTACAAGTGAAATACTGACAAACAAGCATACAGAGGAAAAATACAATAAGTATAGGAGAGACATCTGCATCCTCTTCTGAACATCCTACCAAACAGAAAAAGTCATTAAACAAAGCAATATAGCAATGAATTAAGTAAGTGTTATTTTTTTCTTTTTTTACTAAAATTCACCTAAGACACAAGAGCCACTCAAGAGAGACGATTGCTGCATAAGGTGTGTGATATGAATGGAAGAGAAAAGAATAGGAAATGAAGAGTATGAAGCTATAGTGCATAGATAACTCCTGATCTTAAACTTGATGAGGTTAAGATTTCAAGGTTCAGGGAAGCACCCACACAGGAGTCTGTTTCACAAAGTAGTAGTTCTTGAAAGCTTTTAGAGTGGAAGCCCTTTCATATCAAAGGAATATTTAGGAAATGAGGGTGATTCAACCTTGTGGACGTAGCAAGACGGGTCTTGGCTGTAAAGGACTGAGCAGGTGACACAAAAGAATGGGTCTCCTCTTAACATTTGCTATGAAAGTAGTGAGAGGCTTGTGATGTTGGGTCTGTGGGGAAAAAGACAGTAGGGTGGAAAATACATCATTCCCAACAAGGCCAAATAAAATTTTTTTTGAACTCTGTCAGGCTAGAAAGTGAGGACAGCACAGATATGGCAGCACTACTCCATTTTCTGTGTGAGTAATTGATTAATTTGTTTTTTATGGCTTATCAACCCTTTATGGGTTATTTAAAACAGTAACATATTTTAGATTGTAAGAATAATCTTAGATTTGCAAGTGCATTAACAATGTTTTTGAAAATAACACCTATTTATTTTTTCAGGTTACATGTCCTACTATTTAACCTATAACTGGGGGAGTATATAGATTCTTACCTTAAGCATATTTGTACATAAATGAATTTATTTAATTTGACTAGAAATTGAAATGATCAAAATTCAAAAGGCAACTCAAGACAAAGCTTAAGTTAATTGGAAAACCAGTGGAATATTTTCAGAGAGGAGAGAACTAAGTGGATTTATCAGTGAAATTTCTTAGTAAATCAACCCCTCTTAAAGCTAAAATGCAACTGGCATTCTTATCATATAAGCAAATGAGAGAGTACCATAGAGCTACAGTTAAAAAAAACTTATTCTTTCACCAACTCTGAGCAGAGTGAGTGCAGTTCTTGATAAAATGTGGATAGATAAGATCAAATGTGGCCCAGTTAGTAATGCAACAGTGCCTTGGTGATATTGCTGAAAATGTAGAATTTCATTTGCAAGATGAGGGTGCTGGCACTATGCATGATCTATGTCAGTGGGTTGTGAGGTCATTGCATAAAAGTAATCTGGGTCACAATTGAAAAAGTTTAAATAACCCTGAGCTGATGTTTATGCAGATACCACAGACTAGAGTACTTATGACTAGCCTAAGTTCATAACATTTTAGTATTAAACAGAAACACGGGGGATCAAACATGCTTGAAATAACAGTATGTTCTGATCATTGATATCAAGACATTACAGATGAAAATTTATGCCTGAAGGAAAAAGTTACTTATAAAGATTTGTGATAAACATCTCTCAGAGGAAGAAACTGTTTAAAATTGTGGATTGGATTTCCTTTCTATTTGTACAAATTGATTCAAATGGACTAAATTTTGAAGTCAGAGAAACAAAATCTTTTTAAAGCTTAATTATTTATGCTGAACTTATACTTATATATATTTGAAAATAGAAAATGCATATTTCCCTTGGAAATGAACTGGTCTACTTTAATTGTAATTACTGTATTTTTCAATGTATACAATTCTCTTTTTTACCTCAAAATTTGATGCCTAATCTGCTTGCATTCTATACACTCAAAGTTGATCGATTCATTTTCTATGGTTTATCAACCCTTTACAGGTTATTTAAAGCCAGAAATTTTTTTCTTTCAAATTGTAAGAATTTTTTTTGAGATAATAATGCTTTACTGATACAAGTCTTACTAATTAACTCATACCTGGGGGAGAGATAGGTAGCTTCATACCTTTTCCAAGGATATTTGCATGTAAGTGAATATAATGAATCCAACTGGAACATGAACTCAGCTCTCTGATTAACAATTCTGAGCCATTATCCATTACACACTCAAGCTTACAGCACCTGGTATTCCCAAGCGATCACTTGTCTAGGTCCAACATTGCTTAAATTTGTTGATCATATGGGAACTGGAGTTTCAACTTTATGTGGGCATAAGCCACACTGCACACACACACACACACACATATATATATATATATATATATATATATATAGCATAATGAGAAGCCACGTATACTTTCTTAATATGTATATATAGAAAAAGTTTTCAAGTTTAAAAATAATAATGTTTTATTTTTTCATCAAAATATTTGTTTGTTTTAAATAAATTTGAATTTTAAATTATTCCTCAATTTTCTGATGAAAAATTGAGGACAATTTGAAATATCAAATATATATATATAAATAAATAATTTATAAAATAAAACATTATTATTTTTTAATTTGAAACTTTTTATATATATATATATATATATATATATATATATATATATATACACACACACACACAGGTAATAATCTGTTGATATATAATGCAAGTGAATCCTATTAAAAAAATATTAAATATTAAAGCTGATTCACACAGAGCTCAGTGTTTTAATCAAACAGTTCAACATATTTTTTATACAATAAAAATTAAGATTAGATTAGATTAATGAACATTTTCATCTTGTAAATTGAAATAAAATTTACAAGGATTTTTCAAACAACTCAATGGATGATAAATTATTGAAAGAAAAAATTATCATTCATTGACTGGTTTAAAAAATATTTGTAAATTTTATTTCAATTTACAAGGTGAAAATGATCATTAACCTAATGTAATCTTAATTCCTATTGTATGATTATATATATATATATATATATATATATATATATATTTATTGAGAGCTAAAAAGGAGAAATACATTGAAAACACTTTCAAGCTTCTTCAGCACTATATATATATATATATATATATATATATCAGAAATAAACCCAACTGGCTGTTATGCACTTCAGTATACTGCTGGAAGATTTTACTTTTGACCTTTTCTAGACAAAGGAAAAGCCTGACACTTACTTAGGTGTTCATGTGGGTGAAGAATTCATGGGAAAAAAGTAAGAAAAGATATATTGATTAGGTTGTTTAAGAAATGTGATATCAGTAACACAATGGATGAGATCAAGGAGGACATTCTCTTTGATCATAATGAAGAAATGTCTTTTCCCTTTCCAAGCAATAGTGAAAATTATGAGGATTTTCTAGGTTTTGAAATAAACTAAATAATATTCCTTTCTTTTTCAGTATTCAGCATTTTAGTGTTTAGTACAATATAAATTAATTTCTAAAGTATCAGATTAAATTTTTGTTCAATAAAAAATCTTTCAAATATGACATTTTGCCCCCCAAAAGTTTGTCTTCAAAATTAGGATGACGTTTTTGCAAGAAAATATTTCTTCAGTGAAGTAAAATCAAAATGTCTACCTTTGTGCGGATGAAGATGTGGAAGCAATATGACGAGCTGTCTGATGCTTTTTATTACGAAGATTGACATTTGATCCAAAAATCACCAGTGCCCGTACCAGATCAATATTTCCAATCTGCAAAAATTAAAAAGAAAAATGAAGAAAGAAAAGATTGAAAACTTTCTTAAATTGAACCAACAGAATAACCACTCCCCATGGAGCACTCAACATGACTTTACTTCTCAACTTTTACAAATTAAAAATACAATTGTAACAGTAATAGTTTTTGTACATTGCTTCTAATTTTTTATTATTCTTGATTTCATTTAATGTGCACAGGGGTGGGTTGGGGTGGTGTGATGTTTTATGCTCCAAAACTTTTCTCCCTCCCTTTTTATAGGCAAAAAGTCCACAAATGCATGCTGGGATATTTTTCTTAGCCAATAAAATAGGTAGGTTTGCAATTTGACATGACTCAGTCCCAACCTGTCGATTCTGGCAGTTCGTGGCTGATTTATCGACTCTCTGCCAGACGAAATGCTATACTGAAATGCAGAGTTGCATCTGGGGAGTGAGACAACCCCATGTAATGGTGAATTTTTGCCAAAGCCTACAATGGTTACAAACTCATCAATTATTAGAAGTCATAAAAAGTTGGTGATACATTTATGCAGTTTAGAAAAAGAACAATTCATTTTAATCATAGAGAAAAAAAAATTGCATTATTCCTTTAAATCATAGCTCATCCATTTAAAAATTTCTAAGAGCATTTTCCATATATTTTTTAAAATTCAGGAATAAGATAATATATTTTGTGAAGAAAATTCTTATTCTGTCTTGCCATTTACCTCTGCTCAATCATTTTATCTTGCTTGTGTAAAAAAAAAAAATGCTGTTGGTGGTTGAACACAGGTTGCTGTAAATGTATTGAAATATGATAGAAAAAGTTAGGTTTTACTTAATGGTAAAAATAGTAGAGAACTGTTTTTTTTGCTGTTTATTTCTTCTAATACACTAAAATCCATTATTTCTCATTCCCCCAACTTTAGGAAAGATGGAAACTAATGTGTTAGAAGTGAAACCTATAATTAATAACAGATTTTTTTTCTTTTTAGAAACCTATAATCCCAGATTTTTTTTTTTAGAATTTATAATAGCAGATATTTTCTTTTAAGAAACCTGCAATAGCAAATATTTTTCTTAGAAACCTATAACAGATTTTACCAATTTTTTTTTATTTTTAGAAACCTATAATACCAGATTTCTTTTCAAACTTGCATTACCAGTTTATTCTTTTTAGAAAGCTATAATACTAGATTTTTATGTTTTTTTTTTTTTTTTTTAGGAATCTGTAATGCCAAATCTTTTTTAGCAAACTAATACCTAATTTTCTAGAAACCTATAATAGTAGATATTTTTTCAGAGACTGTTCATTGATAATGTGAGTCTTTCTATGTGTTGGACCTTAGATGGAAAAAAGATGAGCATGTTGTCTATTTTCTTTTTGTATTGTCTTGGCTGAGGAGGAAGTGACGTAGTGACTGATTGGTCGCTTGTGATTTCAAGATCAGCAGAGGCAGTTATTTAATGTATCCATTTGTTGTGTGCTTGGTGGATTTTTGCTTCAGGATCACCTGTCGGAATAAGTACTCTTTCGGTAGGGTCTCTTGGGCAAATAAGTATGATGTTGGAAGATCCAAAATTTGTCATGACCCCAAGTCATAACATCACTGACGAGGCAATCCTGTGCACTTGTTGGAGTGTTTTTGTAACAAACAGAAACTCATAATTAATGCCAGATTTTCTTTTTTTTTTGGAAACCCATAATTAATGTTGGACTTCTATTTTTTTTAATCAATACTGAATT